CTCCATGATACTCAGATCAAAAGACATTTTTGTCCTTATCTTTTTGTTCTTTCTTGCAGCTTTCACATGATGACTCCTTCATTCTTGAAGTATTTTCTGCCCCTTGATCTGTGATATTATCATCTTCTGGTTTTCTCCCTACCTCACTGGCAGCTAGGTTCATCCTCCTCTATCTAATCACTAAACATGAGAGTTTTTCAAAGCTTTGTCCAGGCTCTCTCCTCTTCTTACTTTACTCTTTCTCCCTAGGTGATCTCATTTGGAGGTTCCCAAACTTTTTCACATCGAGGTACATAGAGAAAACGACAATATTTGCATGGCTACTCTGAGCTGGAGGCCAATGGCCTGAAGGCTTTAATCAATATCTTAACACATGTGTATTTCATTGAGGCACATCCATGGCACACTAGTGGGGCCCTGGGGAGCTCTGAATCAACATCCATGTATTTAGCTGTCACCAATATGCAAATAATGCACAATTTTATATTTTCAGCCCAGGCCTCATTTCTTAGTCCTACACTTGTAGATCTGATTGTCACATCTCTTCTTGGATATTTGAAAGCATCTGAAATGTAACATTTCTAAAACTAAGGTCATGATCAACGTTCCCCAAAACTTGGTCCTCATCTGGTGTTGTCTGCTTAATGTAGGTAATCACACCATTGAATTGTATAAGCCAGACTTTTAGGAGATACCCTCACCACTTCTCTCTCCCTCCTTTGTACAATCCATCATCAAGTCCTGTTCAATACACCTGCTAAACATCATCCCTTTTCTCTTTACCTCCACCACCACCTGAGTCCAAACTATCATCAGAGTTCACTGAATTTGCCAGAAATTATGACAGTAGTCAAGGAAGCCATCTTCTCTAGCCAATCCTCAAATTCATTCTTTAACCTATAGAGCGATTCAAAAATAAGCAAACATCTAATCCAGGCATCCCTTTGCTTAAGGCAAAATTCCTTAACATGACGAACAATGCCCTGGATGAATTGACTCATATTTATTGTTCTGGTTACCTATTGCTACAGAACAAATCACCCAAAATCTTAGTAGCTTAAAACAACAATTTGATATTAGCACTACTGATTCTGTGGGTTACTCAGCCTCAGTTGGGTGGTTATCACCTAGAGTCTCTTATGCAGTTGTAGTAAGAATTTGGCTAGGGATGGAGTCATCTGAAGACTCAACTGGGCTAGGTTCCCAAGATGGCATCTTCACTCACATGTCTGAGGGCTGATCAAGCATCTTTCTCTCCATGTAGCCTAGTTTAAGGGTCCTTAAAGCATGGCAGTCTCAGTATGTTCCACTTCCTACATGACAAGTTACTTTTCCCAGAGTGCACTTTATAAGAGACCAAGACAAAAGCTGTAAAACCTCTTCTGACCTAGCCTCCAAAGTCATTCAGCATATCTTATATCTTATTTTAGAAGTCAAAATCAAGTCACGGGGCCAGCCCAGATTCAAGAGAAGGAACTATGAGAGGGCTTGAACATCAGAAGACATAGTTCTTTGGAGGGGGAAGGCAGTCTTTAGAGAATATCAACCACGTTACCTCTGCAATCCCATTTTGCAGTACATTTCCTACTACTGTTTCCACTTTAGCCACACTGGCCTTTCTTAAGTTCCTTGTATTTGCCACACTCCATCTTGCTAAAAGCTTTGCCCATACCACTTTCTTTGCCTAGAATGCTCTTCCAATCTCCTTTTTGCCAAGTTAACTCCTGCTCAACTTTCAGATCTCAATCGAGCTTCACAAAAGCCTTCCCTGACTCCCCTAAACAGTTTAAATCTTAATTTATCCTCTCAAGGTACTGGATTCATTCCCGTCACTGTCCTTATTGTCATTGTATTTTGCACTTGTTTGTGTGATTATGTCGTTTACGTCTCAATATTACCACTACACTGGAAGAGGAACCATGTCTTTTTTTCCCCTCCTACCACAGTGCTTGGCTGGTACTCAAATATTTATTTACTGAATGAACCAAAGAAATAAACTAAGTCAATCAAACTGTCTGCCTCTGGATATCAAATTATTTTTTTCCTTGTATGCATTACAGTGAAGTATATAATCACATTCCCATATTTAATATGTAGATAATCAGACAACCTGAAACATAAGCCATTTTCTCAGAGGAAATCTTATAAATTTAAAGGTCATATTCTTTTGCCACATCTACCTACAAAATTACAGGTATAGGTAGGTATAAAGTAATCAATTAGTATATCCAAACTATATAAATCTTGTGATATTTCTTCCAATCCCCTTTCAAATGAGCCTAAAACTGTCTTCAGTTTTCATTTCTATACCTAATCAGTAGCTGGCAAATATACCAAATGAAGCACTTGACATCAGGAGAGAGATGATTTCCTAGTCTATGCAGGAATCCAGTACTCACAGTAGAGACCACTAGAAGCATTCCACTTAGAAACCCAGGAGGATTGTTACACAGACCACACGTGATTTTTCTTGCACTAAAACCAGATGCATAATACTAACTGCTCCCACTACATTATTAATAACCTGTCTAGAAATAAACACTCTACCAACTTTCAACCTGAAATGGAACATATCATCTTAGGGGTGGTAACTAACATTCCTGTTCTTTAGAAGGTGACACAAAGAGCAAAGGGTTGGATTGGAGAAAATATTCACTAGTTATGGCTCCTAACTTTTTTTTTAAATAAAAGTCTGAGTAATTACGAATGATATCATAAACTAAAGTTCATTATCAGAAAGTACATTCTATTTTTGATCTTTTGAATTCTAATTGTCAACTCTAATTGTTTTCGACTACTAAAAACACTTGGTCTAGTGACAGAATTTTTTTTACAATCTGAAATAATTCAATCATATGTTTACTTATTCTTTCTCCCCACTATGACATAGATTCCACAAGGGCATGGGTTTGATTAGTCTTGTTCACCTACAGCAGTGCCAGGGACATTGTGCTGCCAAATGAATGAATGAATGAATGAATGGTGGTGGTCTTCCAGAATTAGATCTTGCGTATTACTCATAATATTTATGAAGATGCTTACTTGTTATTTATCAAGAAAAGATATTCTGTCAAAATGCAAAAAAAAAAAAGACTTTACTTCTCGTTTACGCTTCTTCATAGGTATTATGCTGTATGAAATTAGTATCTCAAATTATTAATATCTAACCTGACTCATGCACCAGTTACGAAAAAAATTTACTCTACCATAAGGCAGAAGAGCTTTTTGCTAAATCATTGACTTTCTCTGGGTGTTAAAAGTTTTCTAGAATGAAACAACTTTTTTCAGTGGCTGAACTGGAACTTGTATTTATTGTGTACTTTGAGGAGTCTCGTTAGGTTAAACAAATATATTGCAAATAATAAAGAAGTCTACAAGTAGGTCCATGAGTGTGACCATTTTTCATGAATAATTTAGCCACTAGTTGACTAAAACTACGACAACATCGATCCAAGATAGAGGGCATGAAAACAGGTTATAGGATAGTTACTTATGTCCAAACTCTGTCTCTTGAGCAATCGTCAAATATTTTGTCACAAACCGCTGACTTGATGAAGTTGACACATTCATTAATAAGTTTGTAAGCCTATTCTATACCATACAATTCAGATAACAGTAAAATATTAATATTGAATTGGCCCATTAAAGGAAATCCTCCAACCTGGCATCCTCTGATACAAGTTTAATGCTGACTAACAAACATGACCCCTGGGTTTTCTGTAAGTGAGTCTATTCCGTTTTGCACCTTATTTCTCAAGCCATTGATCACATTAGATTATTTATAGCTAAATATATGTTTCCTTTGTCCTGTTTCTTGCTTAAGTGTGGATTAGGATCTAGAGAGCTGATTTTCAAGTTAGAATGTGTTAAATGTAAGTTTTAAATACCAGGCAAGTTCAATCTGCTCTACAGCTGCTCCAATTCCAGACTTGAACTTAGAAAAGTTGTGTTACAAGAAACACGACCTGCCTATATTTTCAAAAGCATTAATTTCGTCTCCTTGAATTCTTAAACTTCACTTACATTCAGCCAAAAAAGAGAGAGATGCACTTATGCTACATTTGCAAGTGTCATTTTTGACCAATCTTCACGACCCTAAGTGTTTTTTAAGGTCTTGCCTTCCAGTTTCTATAACTCATGACTCTACCTTCTTCTTTTACTATAGCAATCAATTAAAAGGCTTAGAACAAAGATAGATCTTTAAATAAATCAAATAGTTTGGTAAATAGACACCCCTCTTCCTTCTTCGGACCCCATTGCCATTTCATCTTTTTTAATTCTATCTTGGGAAGAAAAATAAATAGAAATATATGCAGTATTAACTTGGGTTACTTTTTAAAAGTTAATTTCAATCTCACCCAGACATGCATTAAAAATACCCCATCTTCCCTTCTGTCAGAAGTAAGGTTCTTCCTTCTCATTCACAACTAAAGCTAACACATGTTCCTTACAAATAGGAGTAATAACGGAGGGCAGGAATTTCAGACATGTTAGGAATATTGATCAACTGTATTCGTTCTGGTAAGGCAATTAATTCCCTGATAGAAGAGAGCACTGGTGAGTGAATAGTAGGAGATGCATATTTTTCCAGCTAAAGCCCTTTCAAGGACGGATGCCAAGGTGAGCAGTACGCCCGGTTTCTCAGCAATGGGAAAGGATTTGTGAATGATTATGAAAAATTCGCACCACCTCCCAGCTGCACTTGGGGGCTGCTCTGAAAGCAGCAAAGCACAGCTTGGGAAATTCTTGTCACATCCCGTAGCCCTGGATAAGAAGTGGTGAAATACACACACACACACACACACACACACACACACACACACACACCCCACCGCCACCACCAGAAAAGCCCTGCGGTGAAGCTTTCAAGCAGGCGTCCTTCTCCCCCATCCTTCTCCCCAAGTGAGAGAGGCTCGCCTCCATCTCGAAGCTATAACTCCCAGCTCTTTTATCATTCTAGGCTTTTTCTTGCACAGGAGAACGGTCTACCCTGGCCTTACCTCTGGGGCTGGTTTCTTGCAAGTACGGTGGGGCGGTGGGAGTGACATTTCCCGACTGGGATGCTGACAGCAGAGGCGAGCGTTCGTCCACCCCGTCAGCAGCCATGACTGCGGCAGCGGCGGGCCCGGGGGCGGCTGAGCCGGCTGCGGCCTCGGTGGAGGTGGCGGCTCGCGTTGCTGCTTCTGCGGCCGCTGCTGCCGCCTCCGGGAGGGCCCAGGATGTGTCACAAGGCAGGAGGCGGGGGCAGGGAAGGGTGCGGGACCGAGGGGCGGAGGAAGGGAAGCGCGCAGGGAGGCACGACGGGGGCGGGGAGGGGAGAGAGCGCGAGCCCGAGAGCAGGAGGAGGGGAAGAAGTGCAGGAGGGAGCCCAGCCAGCCTGGGCAAAGGGATACATTAGGACTGACCGGGAAAGGCGAGGAGGGGAAGGCGCCCAGCAACCGAAAGGGGAGAAGGGGTACTTGGGATGCTGCGGCGACAAGTCTTTTTCTCTAAGAAGATGGATTTTAAAGAGAGAGAGAGAGAGAGAGAGAGCATCCTGATAGGGGCTAAGAGAAAAGGCCTATGACTTGATTAGAGGAAAACTAGAGCAAACACAGATATCAAGTTTAGCTCCTCTAGGGAGGAGGGACTGATTCTTGGCTATCAAACTTTGCAGCAATTGTATGAAGAAAGCTTATTCCTGGGGTTATCAATTCCTTCTTAGGGGTTCTTTTGTTACGAATTTATTTTCCAGCGTCTGTTGCAGGAGTGTTGGCATTCCCTACGTTTCCTTGTTGATTTGTTAACAACATGACTGTTGGCATTAGCTGTTGGGCGCTCTGATAACACTACCTTATTGGAACCATGCAGTGTGTTAGTTTTTACAAGTTTCATTTTGCAAAATAGGTTGTCATTTTAGTCGTGTTGCTGTACTATACAGTCCCTGACACACGTGCAATAGTGAGGTTTATGAATAACGCAAGACAATTAAAAACAATTTTCTGGAGATAATGTTTTAAAATAATCTTTCACTTGTGAAAGAGAGTTACAAAAAATATGCTAAGCACTAGCAAAGATTCTTTGCTTGGCCAAACTTTAGTCCGGCTTCTGATACTTCTGCTGGGCCCATCTGTGCACTTCCTTGCAAAATCCAGTTTCAGCAAAGAACTCTACTAAGTTAGTTTAGCAAGAACCCCCCATTCTCGATATTGATATCTCATAAGATTCCTCATCCTCCAACATCCTCCAAGTGATATTTATCACCCTGGCCTGTCTCCAGGAAGAATCCAGTTAGGTGGGTTTAGCCAGAATCCCCCTTACCCCTGACGTTTCCTCTTAGTAATTTTCCGTCCACTGATGCCCCACCCCCCACCCAACTCTGCTACTTGGCCATAAATTGCCACTTGCCCTGCTGCATCTGGAGTTAAGCCTAATCTCTTCTCCCCCATGGCAAGACCCCATTGCAGTGGTCCCTATACCTATCACGATGGTCCTGAGTGAAGCCTTCCTTACTGTGCTTTAACAAGTATCGCTGAATACTTTTTTTTTAAAGCACAGTTCTTGCCTTATTTTCTTTATTGTTTAGCTTATTTTTCATTTTCCTTTTTGGTAGTTTACCATATTATCCTAAAGTGGTTTACATGAAAATGAAACAAATCAAAGCTTTGAACATAACCAGGCACGTGGTCGTGCACACCTGTAGTCCCAGCTACTTGGGAAGCTGAGTCAGGAGGCTTCCTGGAGGCCAGGAGTTCAAGTCCAGCCTGGGCAACAGAGCAAACCTCCATCTCAAAAAAAAAGTCTAACACAAACATGCCCAAATAAAAATACAATAGGAAAGTAGTCGTGGTCTCGAATAATAATTTTCCTGCCGTGATTCTTTGAGTCACTCAAAAAACATTTATTACTCTTTCACTGGATCTACAAAGATAACTTGGACAAGGTATCAGTCCTCAAGATGCCTGAGAAATAGCATAGCCAAAAACAAACTGAAAATGAGGCTGGTATGTCCAGCTGTAGATTTCAATGGGCATGAGGAAAAGCAGACTTCAGACATTTGAAACCGCTTCTCATATTACATTAAGAAGGGTCCTCCTTGTTTTTTGCTCTCTGAAGGCATACTCTTTCTTCCAGAAAAATTCATTTAGGTACCAGCTAGAAATCCTGAAAGAAGATCAAATAATGATGTTTTCTCTTACGCAGCATCTTTTGTGGGTCTGTAGCATCAGGATACAACACAATACAAGGATCCCCATATGCTATAACCCAAGGGCATTTATAGGTCTCCGGGAACCTGGAAAGTGAAGGATGCTACATTTAAAAATGAACAGTGCTGTTTATGTATTGTATCCTGGAAGCTACTGAGTTAAAGGAAATTGTAAGAAGAATCAATAAACTGTTATTAATATAGTGTTTTATAACATGTCACCTATCACACTTCATTGTGACAGTGTATTTGCTTTTCCATTATCCACCAACCACCCACTCTCCAACCCTAACTGACTTTATGAAGTCAGAAACCATATCTATCTTATTCATGATTTTATCTCCAGTATCTAGCACAATGCTTAGCCCATTAGTAAGTAGTTGATACTTGCCAAATAAATAAACAAATGAGTGAATGAACAGATCTACACAGTCCCAGAATCTTACTGAAACAAATTGGTCCAAAAAATTAAGAGCATTTCTTGACTATTTGATCAAGATGACAGTTTGGCCATCTGACTGACCAATGTTTTTATTATTCCATTATATCTCTACAACTAAGATTTCTGTTTACCCAGTAATAATCAGTATAAAGGTTTTTTTTGTTTGTTTTTTCTTTACTTCTTTATATGGTTTCTCTATTCATTTCAGAACTGATTTGAAGCTAATGGCAATTGCTCTTCTTAAACTACAAAAGGTGGTGAATATGCTTAGATTATATTTGCAGCAATGTCAACTTTCACAAAAAGCAAAAAACTTTGATTAGAGGAGTATCACTTTATTCTAGTTTCAAGATAATATTGTGGTTTATGGTTACTCAATAATTGTTAAATAATACTCATCAATCCATGGTATTTTTATGATTATGGTACTTTGCCACCTCTATTCGTTAGCTAATGTGTCTGTTGGAATAAATGGTACTATATAAACTGATAACTTGTGAGATGAGACGTAACGTACTTAAGCTGCTGTTCCAGTTACCTGCTACTGAGTAACAAACTACAGCAATACTCAGTGGCTTGGAACAACATGAGTTTTTATTTTTCATGATTCTGTAGGTTGATTGGGTGGTGATTCTGTCAGACTTGCCTGCTATATTCAGACAGCTGCATTCAGCTGGCAGGTTTGCTGGGAGCTGGGCTCAGCTAGGACAGTAGGGATGGCTGGCAGCTCTCTCCATGGAGTCTTCATTCCAGCTTCTTCAGATGTCTCATTGTCTCAGAGCAATAGTCTAAGATGGTGATGGTGGAAGCTAAGGGACCCCTAAGATCCAGGCTCTGTGTCACTTCTTTCACATTCTTCTACCGTGTGTAGCTTTCTCAGCCTGCCTCTTGCCCAAACAAAATTGAGCACCCAGAGGCCACTTTTCATGATCAAAGGAAGTCGCAAGGCCAGTGGAGGAAGAGATTCCATCTCTTCATAGGAGGGGTAACAATGTCACATTGCAAGGCATGATTCATTGCACACTGTTATACAACAATCTACCACAGTCTGCCCGACTGGTCAGAGTGGTTCATGTCCCTCTGATAGGCGAACTACAGTGTTCACATCTAAGACCCCCAAATCTCATTTAATCACCAAAATCAACTTTGTGTATCTTGTCACCTAAATCAAGTCCAGGTGCACACAAAGTTCCTTGGGCATGATTCCACAGGTTCAGCTCCTTGGGCGCAGCATCTGTGGGTCCAGAGACATGTGAACTACAAAGTATGTGCCCTTTTTATTCCCTCCCCAACAGGAACAAAATAACAGCAGTGAGGCGGGGGGCAGGTAGTAATTCGAATAGCAGGTACATGGCAGACACTGGACCACAGAACTCTGAAATCCAGCTGAGTACATGTCACCAGTTCCCTTGACCCCAGAGGCAGGGAATCCTCCTTTACTAGGACACAATTCTAATAGGACTGGTGCCACTCCTTCTCCTTATCTAGTGCTCTCCTCAGCTCTTGGCCCTTCCAACTGAATCCATGCTTTTCCATAAGAAGTGGCTCCTGTTTGCAGGTGAGTAGCTTTCTCAGCCTGCCTTTTGCCCAAAGAAAGTTGGGAGCCCAGAGGCCTCTTTTCATTTTGAACTGGCTCTGTCTATTTTAATCCAAATTGATACAACTTCCTTAAAATGTGTGGATTGCCAGTGAATCTGACTGGGGTTTGCCTATGTCCCAAAAACCACAAACATAATTTTTTTTGAGACAGGTATCTCCCTATGTTGGGCCACAATTGAGGCTCTTCATATTCTTAGAAGCCCCTTTATCTATTTAAAGAAGTCTCCAAGTCCCTGCTTGAGTCTCTCAAGGATCTTAAGGAGGGGTTTTACAGCCACATTCTTGATTTGAATTTTATCCTGAGGCCATTTCTTAGATTGAGAATCTTGTACTGGATGAAAGACTGTCTGGGGGCCCCTATATTTCCTCTAACTTCTATTGCAAATTGAAAGCTCCTTCTTCAGTTCACCTCTGTGGTAGACAACGTAAATCCTCCCCAAATATGTGCACCCTCTAATCCCCAGAACCTGAGAATATTTTACCTTACTTATAAAAAGGGATTTTGCAGATATGATCCTAGGGTGCAGACCTTCAGATGGGGAGATTATCCTGAATGATCCAGGTGGTCCAAACCTAATCCTGAGTCTTTAAAAGCTGAGAATCTTTCCCAGCTGTGGTCAGAGAGATTCAGAGAAGGAGATATTTAAAATGTGAGGAGGAGGACTTAACCTACCATTGATGAAGAAAGGAGACCAAGGAGTATGCATGTCCTCTAGTAGCTAGGAATGACCTTCAGTTTACAGCAGCAAGGAAACGTGTTCTATACCACAAAGAACTGGATTCTGCAAACAACCTGAAATGGATCTTCCCCTACAGCCTCTAGGAAGGGACATATACCTGCTGATACCTTGATTTTAGCCTGGTGAGAGCCATGTTGGACTTCTGACTTACAGAACAATGACATAATGAATTTGTGTCATCGGAATCCGCTAAGGAGTGTATAATAACTCACCTGCTGAATCGACTAGCCAAAAAAATAAATAAATAAAT